CACACACACACACACACACACACACACACACACACACACACACACACTATAACTTCAAAGAGGGCAGAATTCTTAGCTTGGTGCTGTGGTGCATGCAAATGCAATTCTACCTGTCTGGGAAACTGAGAAAGAGGGATGACAAGTTCAAGGCTGGTCCCAAGATGTAGCAAGATCTTGTCTCCTCCTCTCTGTATTATTCTCTCTCTCTCTCTCTCTCTCTCACTTGAGACAAGGTCTCACTTTGTAGCCCTAGCTGGCCTGGAATTCACAGTGCAGACCAGAGGGGGAAAAATCATTTCCACAACTGTCTGATTAAACAAGCTTTATTCAGAGGTGCACAAGGGCCTGGCCAGACAGCTGCCTCACCTTAAGCTGGGGTTTCAGAGAGCAGCCCCTCACTGGCTTTTGAGGTCCCTTTAATGGGCAATGGGTTAAAATTGATAGAAAGCAGCTGTCGATGCTGGGTGGTGGCGGCTCACGCCTATAATCCCAGCACTCGGGGGGGGAAAGGCAGGTGGGTCTCTGGATTTCAAGGCAGCCTGGTCTACGGAGTTAATTCCAGGACAACCAAGGCCCACAGAAAAACTCCGTCTCAAAAAACAAAAACAAAAAACACACACAGCGAGAAAAGGGGCTGTAGAGATAATTGGCTGTTAGCATCTGGACAGAAGACTAGGTATAGGGGACCGACTTGGGGCTCAAGGCTGCCTGTGGGGCAGGTAAGTATGATAGAAAACAGCTGTCCGGATAATTGGCTGTTAGAAAGGAGGCAATAGAAATAAGTGTAAGAATACATCATGTGGAAGGAAGGTGTCTGGGAAGACAGATTTTGGTAAGGCAAAAGGGCAATCACGGGTTCAGGAGTCAGCAAGGAAAGGGGTGCGTCCATCATGGGGTTATAAATTTGGGGCGGGTTGAGAAACAAGGTCTTCAGGATACATTAGGCTTAGGAAACAGAAACATAAGGTATGGAGACTTAGTAACGATGTATAACAATGTGGCTCCCATTTTGGTTTCACTCTGGCTTTGAAGTCGAGAGATCCTCTGCCTCGTGAGCAAAGGGTTAATGACCCAAAACACAGAGCCTCAGGTGAACTGAGAAACTGTGGACTGAGCATACTGATAAGTGCAGCTGCCTGACAAGAAAGTCAACATCTCACGAGAACCTCAGCTGGTGTTTACAGCCTTGAGACTGCAGGGAACAGCTCTGCAGATGGAACTGTGTAGCCCTAAAGTTCCCTTTTCTGCCCTACAGTCCCTCCAACCTCCTGCACCTCCAAGTCTCTCCCAGGAGACACTGTGGTCCTTCATTGTTCTGCACCTCCAAGTCTCCAGGAGACACTGTGGTACTTCATTGTTCTGATCAAGGGCAGCCTGCCTCCGGGAGACTGGTCTTCCCCTCATTTATTTTCACGTCACCTCATCAATCCTGATGCAACACTGAGTACTGGCATTAAGGGGGTTCACCACCATGCCTGGCTTTGCTCTTTGGTGGGGGGTGTGAAACAGATTCTCTCTGCATGTCCCTGGCTGCCTTGAAACTCACTACATAGAGCAGGCTGGCCTTGAACTCACAGAGGTCTGCCTGTCTCTGCCTCCATAGTGTTGGGATGCTGGGATCATAGGCATGTATCACCGTATTCAACTTGCCTCTCGTTTTGTTTTTAAGACAGGGTCTTAATACGCATCACAGGCTGACCTAGAACTCAGGTTTCTGCTAGGATTACAGGTCTGTGCCACTGCCCCAGCTAAGACTCCATCTTAAGAAGAGAAAAGGGGATGGGGACATGTTAGCACAGTGCCTTGAAGAGAGTATTGTTCTTCACCTGGACAGGCATCTTGCGTATCCTCCATGCCTTCAACACACAGTTCGGCAAACTGTCAGGCATGAACTTTGACAGGTTTCTCTAGTACTGTGTGTCTGGCTTCTAGATGCTCTGCTCTGAAGCGTCAGAGCCACCTCAGCAGCTGGGCCTTACAGATGACCATGAAGATCCTGGGATCCTCTGCGATGGAGTGAGGGTGAATGTCCCCCGCTGGGATCTTGTGGGAAAACTCTAAAATTCCACTCAGATCAGCAGGACGTCAAAAGTGACTCATTGGAAAAATGAAGAGGTAAGTTTTCACATCCTGTGAACTCCAGGTATGCATATAGTCAACCACAAGGAATTCTGGGATTTTGTTTTGTTTTCTTTGGGGGTGGGTGTTGCTGTTTATAATTCATTGTACCTTTATAAATTTCCAGGAGGTCGCCTGGAATACCTAGGACAGCCCAGTATGTGCCTGGCCCATAGGACCCTCAACCCTAGGCGGCACTGGGAATTTCTCTTGGTTCTGTGATCTCATTTTTAGCATTAATGGATGCTGGAGTTAACAAGTGCTTAGGAAGTACTGGTGAGAGCTTGAACTGTGCATATGGCCCTGATACTCTGGTACTTCTTGCAGGAGTTTCTCCTACAGCAAGTTAAGAGGTAGGGGCAGGGCTGGGGATGGATTTTCCTTGGCAGACTGCTTGACCAGCATACCTGAAGCTGTTGGTTCTATTCCCCAGAAACTGGGTGTGTTGGCACACACCTGTAATCCCAGATCAGAAGTTCAAGCTCATCCCTGATACTTCTGTTAAAATTCCTTCCCAGGAGACATAAACACAAGGTCTACTTATCCTGAGGTCCCAACAGCAAATGAAGGCATGATACTGCCACAGAGTTCACTCTAGGGAATCAAGGAGCTTCCTTCCAGAGCAGAGGTAAGAGGGGTTACCTTCCTGGGCATAGGTGCTCCTTCTCCTACAACACCCAGTAGGGTAAGCACCGTCCCCACCCCACTCCCATGTTTCCCCAGCCTATACACAGCCCCTTCCCAGGCCGTGAACAGTTAAGGCAGAGTTACAAACGACATGTGATAGGGTTTTATCACCTGGATGACAGTCTCATGACCTTCCTCACCCCTCCATGAGGGGGTGGAAACAGTCAAGAAGCCCAGCTAGGAGAATTTCTTTTTCAAAGGGAGCAGTTGCACTCCCTGATGGCAGACGCTTGGAGGATAGTCACTCACAACAGCTATTTGGCAAGTTCCAGGCTAGCCTGGGCTCTGTGACAAACAAACGTACCTCAAACAAATAAACCAGGTAGTATTTTTTGCATGTACTTTGTGGTAATAACAGTGGACTATGAGTTATAGCAAATATAGCAAAATATAGGTGTCATACATTTTTCCTGGTAACTAAAAAAAAAAAAAAGGACAAATAAAAACAACAACATAATAGAAGAAGAATAAAAATTTGACTCCCAGATAGAGCTCCAGCAACTAGCAATCACAACCCTCCTTTTAATCTTTTCCAAAAAAGACTTATTTATTATATTTTATGTGTATGAATGTTTTGTTGAATGTCTGTATCATACGCACCCTGAAATTGTGGGCAATTGTGAACCACCACGTGGGTGCCGGGACCAAACCTGCGTCCTCTGCAAGAATGACTCCCCTGCCCTAACAGCCTCATTTAACAGATAAAGACATCGGATCCTACTTAACAGATGATGAAAGTAAGGACCAGGGCTGCGGGTAGAGTTCAGGGCTGGAGCGTGTCCTCAGCCTGTGAAAAGGCCAGAAAGCAATGCCTCAACCTGCGAGACAAGGTGATAGGAAAAGAAAACAAGCACCAGAGAGGCAGCATTCTCTATTGCTTGCATGTTTAGGCACGGGCCACGGGCCACGGGCAAGACACTTGCTTGGTGCTGAGGACATGAAAACAAAACCACCACCACAACAAAAAAAAAATGTGTAACACTCGGTACGTTGTTCTCAAGGAGCTCCCAGACTGAATGGTAGAAAGCAGTGTCCATAGAGAGTAATGGGAGGAAAATTGGCACCTGCTCTGGAGAAGGCCGCATGAAAAGGACAGCAGAAGTCAGCTGGGACAGCGGAAATCAGTGGAAGTGTCCTAGGAAGTAAAGGAAGTGAGTGTGGTTAAATCAAAGGAGCCTTGTATAGGGAATTCTACTGGATTTGGAGGCAACAACCCAATCTCAGCTCAGAGATGCTCTGAGATCCCAGCCTGTCAAGTCCACCACAGAGACACACACCTGTTGTTGTGACCTGCTTAACCCATTTAAACTCTATAGCCCCTCCGATGAGACCTATTTTAGTTCTTCACATAACTGAGGCTTCTCTGTTAACACCTGGTGTCCCCTTTAGCATATCAGAAGCCATTTTGTCTCCAAGTCTCCATTTTGATTATAAGGTTGAAATTAAGTTCAAGTTCTCAGGCCTATGTGCCTGAGACCAGGATACAATTCAATAGTCCAATACTTGCAAACAAAACAGTAGATGATAAACGCATGTTCTGCTTGAATTAAAGATAAAGTAAAGATAAATGTATGTTCTGTTAAGAGGGCAACATCCTGCTATGTTCCTTACTCCCAGAAAGCTGGAAAGCCCCCAAGAGCTCCCCTATGCTAAATCCTAGCCAATCAGCTTAAAGCACTTTGTCTAGCTACAATACATTTGGAACAAGCCCTTGAAACAAAATCAATTACATTTAGCTAGTCAAAATGATATAATGTTCCCCCACCCCGACTTCCTACACCTGGTTACCTGGTTATAGTTTTTTTATGTAAAAAATCTGCCTTAGAAACAAACTGGCATCATAGTCCCACTCTGGAGTCCAGATTACGGCCCTGACTGGTCAGTTTTTGTTCACCGTTCAATAAACTTCCATCAGTCTGAGTCTGGTGTCCGAGCGGTTAATGTGGGACTATTCCTGAACCCATAACACTGTAATTCCAGTTCCCAGGAGGCTGAGGCAAGAAGATGATGGCCAGCCTGGGCAATTTGCTAAGACCCTGTCTCAAAAGCACAAAAATAGGCTGAGCGTGGTGACCCATGCATTTAATCCCTTAACTCAGGAGGTAGAGTTAGATGGATCTCTGTGAGTTTGAGGCCAGCCAGGGCTACTTTAAAAAAAAAAAAAAAAAAAAAAAAAAGGAAAAACAAACATACAAAAACTAGGCCAGCAAGTCTAAGAACTCAATTTCCATCCTCAGGAGAGCAGAGACCAGCTCCTGCAAGTTGTTCTCTGTCCTCTACACGTGCGTGCTGTGACATGAGGGGCCCCCCAACCCCCACGCCACATACACTCACCGAATGGATAAAGAACCCAGTAAACACTACAATAACAAAAGCACTGTCTCTCTGCCCACGGACAAGCATGTGCTGATCAGCATGTAATCAGTGCTGTGTGGCTTCTTCTTATTCAGGGGTAGAGATACTCAGGTGTTCAAACCCTCTCGTTTTAGATGTTACAGTTTTTAGAGAAGTAGTTCCTTCATAGTATAGACTTTCACTTGAGCTATGCAAGTGTATGCATTAGGTCTGTTAGCTTTAGAAGGGATGCGGTGGCTAGGCCCTGGGAAAGCTGTCAGCTGCCCTGACAGTAACTAAAGAGGTTGCTGTTTACAGAGAACTTAACTTTGTTTGATTTCGAAACAAATATTTCTGTGTTGCCCAGGTTGGCCTTGAATCTCTCCGCTCAGGTGATTTCCTTGGCTCGGCCTCCAAAGTAACTGGTGTTGCAGGCCCGTCACCACAGACCTGGCAAGAATTTAGTAAGTCTGATTCACTGTCGGTCTGCATTCACTGTCAGTTTTCAACAGTGTCCCTGTGAAATACGCTCTCTACCAGGGCAAACTGCTCCCAGAGACCTTAATGTACTGCTGCGTTTTGTATATATCTGCATAGTCATAAAACATTAGAACCCCAGCACTAGAATGATGGTGCAGAAGCTCCATCTTCCCAGGAAGAGCTCAGTTCACCAGCTCACTTTAGGCAGCTGACAGCTACCTGAAACTCCAGTTCCAGGCAATCTGTCGACCTCCTCTGGCCTCTCAGGGTGTCTGTACACACACACACACTTACTCTGGTAATGGTTCAAGCATGTACCCACAGGGACCCCCATGAACACACACACACACACACACACACACATATAAAAACACCTGAACATGGTACTGCACGACTTTAGTCCCAGCACACTGGAGGCAGAAGCAAGCAGATCTCTTGAGTTTGAGGCTAGGCTCAATTACATAGCAAGTTCCAGACCGGCCAGGGCTACATAGTGATAGATAGCCTTCTTAAAAAGAAAAGAAAAGAAAAGATATATAAAGTTTTAAATAGATTTATTTATTTATGTATGTGGGTCTTTTGCACCAGAAGAGGGTAGATTCCACAGGACTACAGTTACAGACGGGAGTGAGCTGCCATGTAGGTGCTGGGAATTGAACTCAGGACCTCTGGAAGAAGAGCCAGTGGTGTTCTTAACCACGGAGCCACCTTTAGAAATAACTCAGCATCGTTAGTAGCCATTTGATTCATGAGTATTGACATACAGTCTCTATCTGATTTTTGTCTTATAAATGTAAACCGCTTGACTATTCTCGATCATCCGTGGGGGTAAAAAAGCAAAACAACAACAACAAAACACTAACAGCCAGGTGTGATTGTGTGCCTATGTAATCCCAGCATTTTGCAGATGGAGGCAGGAGGATGGAGATTTGAAGCTTGGTGTGTACTACATGCTGAGTTCTTGTCTCAAAAGACAGTAGGAAAGATGGTCTGGCTGTCAGAGTGCATGCTGCTCTTGCAGAGAACCCGAATTTGGTTCTCAGGGCCCATATTGGGCCACTCACAATGGCCTGTAACTCTATGGAATATGACACAGCTTACTTCATCCAGCATTTGCACTCACTCCTGTGGGAACACACACACACACACACACACACACACACACACACACACACACACA